AGGTCTCTTGTCAATTCACTCTACAAGGAAAGGAAAGGAAAGGAAAGGAAAGGAAAGGAAAGGAAAGGAAAGGAAAGGAAAGGAAAGGATTCTACTGATAAAGTTCAGCAGAAGTAAACAAACAAAACCTCAATACTTTTGATGTGTAGCAAGAAAAGATGGGTGGAGGTTGCTCTAGAAGTGTGTTGGGGGCAGGTTGTGAGTCCCCATCCTTGAGAAATGGTCCTTGAGAAATGCTACTATAGCACAAACAGGAGCTGTGGGTAAGCTCTGAAACTTCATTGAGAAAATAAGCACTGGAAGCAAGTGTTCCTGAAGGCAATATTATTCACCAATCTTTTCAAAACCGTAGCAATTAATGATTCATTTTACATAAGCAGAGTTGTGTAAAGTTATACATACTTTATTTTGGAATCAACTGCTGTTGGAGCTAAAACTGGTTCTTCCTTGATATAGTTTAGGAGAAGTTTAAAACATGCCTATTTACACAGTGTTTTTAATGTTCCTGTTTTCATTTGTGCTTCTATTTGTTATGCTTTTTATGCTGTTTTTACACATGTTTTTATTTTAAACTGCATAGAACCATTAAAGCAATAAAACAGCATATAGCATTTCTAAATATGCATGCTTTTTTTTACATTTTTTATCCTACCTTTATTTTATTATTTTTTAAAATAAATAACTCAAGGCAGAGAACATACCTAATACTGCTTCCTCCTTGTATTTTCCCCACAACATCAACCCTGTGAGGTGAGTTGGGCTGAGAGAGAGGGAGTGGCCCAAAGTGACCCAGCCAACTTTCATGCCTAAGGAAGGGCTAGAACTCGTCTCCTGCTTTCTAGCCTGGTGCCTTAACCACTAGACCAATGTGGCACTCCTCTTAGGAGCTTTTCTCTTCTCTTAAAAATGTTTAAATAACTTAAATTTTTCCTCTTAAGTTATAGTCCCAGACATGTTTTATTATGTGTTAAATATAGACTGATATTTAATTAAAAATGTAGAGTATAAGGTATGGGACAAAAAATCTTACTGTTAACCTGGGCACTGATCCTATCTTAGATACTTTAAGAAATTGATTGATTGATTTGGTAACTCAACTCCGTGATGACTCTGGGCAGCTTACCACAACAAAAGCCATACAAAAAAACAGAAATGAAGCCCCCCCCCCAAATCTTCCTTCCCTCTTCATTTGCACACAGAGAGTAGCATTCACACACTCACTCAAATAACACTCCCTTATATAAAGAACAAGAAAATCCCTGTTGTGACTTGATTTCTTCATTCCCTTGAACTACCCAGAATTCTTAGATCATTCCACTGCTCAGCCTTCCTGGGTTCCTCCAGTCTATCACAACTTCAGCCTAGGTACAAATTAACCCATGGAGGAATGTAATCAGTCCCATTTCTATTTGCTCTACACCTTCAAGAGCACCATTCCACAAGACAAATGTTGTTTTATCTCCAGATTTGTTGTGCCTCTGGATTTTTACCACTTCCCAAATGTACTGCATTTTGTTTTTATTAATATAGTTTTAGAATATATTCTGATTTTAAACTGTTTTGAGCAATAGGTGAACAGGCAATGGAAAACTGAGACCTACAGTAAATCTCTGTAGGAATGAATAAAATAAATATATGTGTAAATCTATACATGTAAACTACAAAAAATCAGGAATCATCATTTTTCATGGAACTGAGTCATGCATACATAACAGCCTACACATAGTTGGGGGTATGTACATACAATAGGCTATATGCTATAGCTGGAGAACAAATGCTCTCCTGGTATTACTAAACTACAATTCCCAGAAGCCCCAGCAAGTATTAACACAATCCTTTCTGAATATACTCAAATGTTAATTCCACTGACTTCAGGAGGGCTTACTTCCAAATAAGCATCTATAGAATTAAACCTAAAGTATCAATACCTCTGACATAAAACTGCCCCACTGTACAGGATTGCACTGTTTAATCTCTGTTTCCCACTCTTCCTCCTCCTTTTTAAAAATTTTATACATTGTTTTCAGATCAAACTAACTAGGCATTCATAGTGCTGAAAATTGTCTTCCAATTTTTTAAGCAAAACTGAGAAATTGTATTGTGTTTCTCCAGCTATTTTCAGCATGCTTAGAACATATTTCAATTTAGCAGATGCACAAAATGGGGGAAGTTAGAAACCCAATAGTCTTTCTCTTTTCTCTGTCTCTTTCTTTATTGTTTGGTATTTTAATTGTTGTGAAATTTGCTTTGTTTATCTACTTTTTTTCTTTATTAACATGTGCAAAAATATTACATAACAATACAACAAAGACCTTAACAGTAAGTAATCAGCTTAAGATCGAAACCTGTATTGTACAACAAAGACACAATCTGGAGCAGTTTTTTAAATGTTATATTCAATTCTAGATTAAAAAGCCAAATAATTTTATGGTCATTAATATTGACATCCTAAATTGTAATTAATATTGATATACTACCTGTCTTTTATCCTCTAAGTTATCTAAACATTAGAGTTAATGATCTTCGCTCAATACTGTACAAAATATCACTGTATCAAAACAATATTTATTTATTTATTTATTTATTTATTTATTTATTTGTCGTATTTATATAGCCACCCATC